GGTCAACAAGTAACTGTTTATACTCAAGCTCTTCTACTTGAGGAATGAGTTTCCGCATTAAGGTGGGGCGATGCAGCACGTAGCCTGCCATGGATATTGTCCAAAGTTTATAGCTGCATGGTGACCAGAAACAACCCAACTCATTGAGGCAAGTATGTTCGATAAGGTTTGGCCACCAAGGTTCATCTTTCTTATCGGGGTGTCCCTTGTTCTTGATCTCATTCCACCAACCTTGGAGCTCAACATCTAACATGACAGATTTAGGCTCAGAATAATAATGCTCAACAAGTTCTTTTATTGCAGACCATATGAGAAGGCCATCAGCTGCATAAGGATACTCCTCAATTACAAATTTCACTCCACATGGTGCTGTTGGATCTTCCACAGCCATGCCCCTGTTGTTATGGGATTTCACAATGTTTGAGGAGCTCATAATAACAAATATAAGAGCATATTTATGATAATACTTTTGTACTGCAAAATGACAATATTTTTAGCATAGGTCCATTTTTCATATTAGAGGGTGTATAAAATGTACTCCCTCTGTCCCAATTTGTGTGATGTTGTTTGACTTGCCACGGACGGGAGTTTAAGAAAAAAAGAAAGACTTTTAAAACTTGTGGTTTAAGATAAACTTTTGGATCCAATTTACTGAGAATTGGAGATAAAATGAGGCATGATTTAAGCAAATCACCGAGGCGATAGCAGACTACAACATTTCTTTTAAATTTATGTTTTCCTTAAGTAGTTCAATGCTAACAGGGTTAACCCCCGCCACAGTCTGGCGTGCAAATTCATGGTCTCGTAGCCATGCAAATCTATCTCCTACAGACATATGCCATAATGCCATAACTTTTCAATATGTTTGTCTTTGAACTAGACATCATTAGTGAAAAAGAAGTAAGAAAACGCTTACGCCTGATAGAAGGAATCTCAAACTTGAACAATCTTTCAGCAGCAGAAAGCATTTGTTTGATCAAATTCTCCTTTTGGTACTTTTCATCTTTCAAGGCAATACCATCAACATATTATAGCTTGTCTATGTTAGAAAAGGTGTTGAAGGAAATATTTGTACTCGAGAATTTAGAAACAATAGATGGTATCAGGTTGTGCATGACACCGTTCCACCTTTTAGTAGAAAGTGTATCCTGCTTAATTTCTTCAAAGGCTTCATCCTCTAGGAACATAAACTGGATGAGATGAATCTGCAATACTCTCTACGCAAGGATCTACTCGTATTCACAAACTAGAAAAAGTTACCATAAACATCCATTTAGAAAACACTTAAGTAACTAGGCCCATTAACTGATCACATTAGAATCTCCACTTGTTTTAGTTAACGATCTCCCAGTTCGACAACGCCTAGGATAAGGTTTCTCTTCACCACCAAATACAAGTCGCGCTAGTTCATTCCACATAACACTCTACAATTTTCCCTGATTTGGTATGTGTAAACAATAAAGATTCAAAACTCAAAATGAAGCACAACCACAACAAAAACAAATCATGAATTATTTTAAATATGTCAAAAAGGAGATTTTTGAGCCATTTCCATTAAAATTTTATATTTAGTCAAACAAATCGCATTAAGAAAATAGAGATTAGTGATTATACGCGTTGAGAAATATTACTGAATCAGGTTTACCAGTAAAAGAGTGTTGGAATATGGTTCTTGATCCTCAGGTGGTTCACGCTCACCTGGAGAGAAGGAAGAGCCTTCTAACTATTATGGTAAGAAGCCTCTCAGATGTTATCGTTGTGGTGAAGTAGCTGGGCACATAAAAAGATATTGCCGAGCCAAGGAGAGCAATATGGCTCAAAAAGTTGCTGAAGAAGAAGAGTGGGGAAAGTGTTTAGTAGCTGAGGGTCGAGCAATAGATGTCATGATTTCCATCAATCTTGAAAGAGGCTGGATCGAAGATCTAGAATATAATATAGCCGATCAAGTGGAAAACCAAGAAACTGATGTTGTCGGCATGAAGCAAGAAATTTTTGAGTATGTTCCCAGTGGTGATATGGTAGCTGCTATTGAAGAAATCAAAGAAGAAGATCCTGAACAGGCAATATCTGAAAGTGGCGACGAGAAATCATTGAGGGAAAATGTATTGAAAGTTGAAGTCTCTGGTCAATCGTCTACTATATCGAGGTCAATCACTAGCTTAGATCAAATTAAATACTGTTAGCAGAGGAAGAAGATAAAGATCAAATAGATGAAGAACCTAATCTTAAAGGCCAAATTTCAAGTGGGTGACATAATTTTTGAAAGCGTTGAAGCTGATAAACAAGTTATTGAAGAGCTAGAAAGGAAATTTAATGATGGATCCTATCATAGTGATGAGGCTACACAGGAAATTGACCATCATCACCGACTCAAATGAGGAATCTTATATTGATGATAACCTTTTATGCTATAAAGTTGCAGGTTCCAGAATCTTGAAAGCTGGAGTTCCAAACTTGCCTATCACAGATGTCTATTCAAATAGTACTTTTCTCAGGAAGCTAAGAGAAAGGGGGAGTTCAGGAACACAACAGGGAGATAATTTACATGGACCATTCGGTAATGGAAAATATTTATCATTTGACGAAGCAAGAGGAGTCCGGAAGAAATTGCTGATATCTTCACCAAGACATGGCGCAAAGCTTTGTTTGAGTTCTTCCACGACAAGTGTGGGGTAATTTTCAAAAAATCACTAAAAGGGGGAGTGTGAAAAATTAAAGTTGATTTTTTGGAGTTACAAAAAATATCTTAGATATTTAGTAGAACTTTTTAGAATTTTGTGAAGTAATATCTTTGATATTTGTACTTAAGAAAAATCTAGATAGTCTAGAGTATTAGATATTTTAGGGAGATATTTGTAAAAAAGATTTGCTATCCGTAAACAGTAAAGACTCAAAACTCCAAATGAAGCACAACTACAACAAAAGAAAATCATGAATTATGTTTAATATGTTAAAAATGAGATTTTTGAGCATTTTTCATTAAAAAAATTATGTTTAGTCAAACAAATCGCATTAAGAAAATAGAGATTAGTGATTATATGCGTTGAGAAATATTGTTGAATCAGGTTCACCAATAAAAGAGTGTTAGAATATGGCTCACAAGTCGATTAGAGTGCAAATACAATATTGGTATCGGATCCATAGGCTCGTTTTGATTGTTGATATGGTTGTATACATTACCTGAAAATGAGGGTTCTTATATGTAATTCTTGACTTGTAATTCCATGGTTTATGGTCGTTGCAGATCTTGTCTAATGGAGGGTAGCTTCATTATTTAGTAAGTCTTCTTGCTTTATAACATCCTTTCTGGTCTTGTGACGGAGTGCATGAGTAGCTCACTATCGCTGTTACCACTTTGGTATGCTTTTCTTCCTCGTATTCACTATCGTTGTTTGTTTTTCTGTAGGTGGTCTTGTGCCAGAGTGCACAGATAACTCTGAATCAACCAACAACCGATGCGAGACCCAACTTTTGAATCAGGACCCGACTCGTGAACCAACAATAGAGTATGTATTCACACTTTGCTTAACATTAGTGAAAACAACTTGAAATTGTGTGTGACAGGTCGTAGTTTTACCCCCTTGGGCAAGGAGGTTTTCGCGTAAAACTCTTTCTCTTTATTGTTAAGTATTTTATTGCATTCTAGCAAACTATTTACCTGGTACTACAGTTCACGGTGGACTACCACATCTCAACACCTAGTTATTTTTATATGATTTATGAAAAATTCACAATAAATTACCCTGTTTGTATATTGACAAGTGAAATATACAAATGGAGTTCTGAAAAATTTCTAAATGTATAAATAGAGAATTTGTATATACATACCCTATTTGTATATTTGCAAGAGAAATATACAAACGGGCAAGCGAAATATACAAACCGCGCGAAATATACAAATTGCAACCTCCATAACATACAAAACTATAGCTATGGAGGGCAATTATCGAAACTATATCTATAAAGCCTTACTATGTCTATTATGTTTGTTTTTTCTAGAATTTTCTCAATAAATAAGGAAAAATTACCTAAATATACAACTTATTTTACCATATTTTCTAATATTTCCTACCATTTGAAAAAATTACAAAAATACCTACTCTTTCCTATCGGTCGCATACATCACTTTACGTGATGTATAAGAATTGATATTAACAGTTAATTGTATCTGATACAATTATTAGACCTATATCTCATACAATAATAAGATATAAGTTAAGGATTTATGGACTACTCAAATACATGAAACATCAATAATATGAACAGATACATTGTCCTTGTTTTGACCGGTAGACTAGGGCTTTAGAAGATTATGGCCCTATTAGTGGAATTTATTAGGAAAATATATACTAAGACTAAGTCTTAAGTAAAGCATTTTAACAAGTTATAAAACAAACAATTTAACCTAAAATTAGGACAACTTCATCCGTCAAAGATGAATTCTGAAGAAGATTCAATTCCTCAAGATATTACCATCCAAATTTTCTCATGGCTTCCAGTTAAGTCTTTAATGCGTTTTAGATGTGTTTCGAAATTTCATAATTCAATTGTGTTGGAACCAAATTTTGTGGATCTCCATTTATCCAATTATTCTAAGATCAATCGTGGTGTTACTAAGTTGATTGCATGCCTAGCCGACGTTTGTTACGCTATAGAAGATCATCATGATGAAGAAGATGGAAATGCCACCAAGTATCATCAAATTGACAATTTTAGTAAGTTGTATGTGTTGGGTTTAGCAAGGTATGAATGGGAAATAGTGAATGGGAAATAAAAAGAGAAAATGGAAAGTGGAAGAACCAATGAAAATGGGGGAACCAATTTTGGAGGGAAAATGAAAAGTCATTGCAAAAGTGCAAATGAATAGTCATTTTTACCATATCGGTAGAAGAGAGGAAATTGTTGTCCTTATATTAGGAAACACTTCCTTTAGTTCTTAAAGGGTTAAGAAGAAGGTGCCCCCTCGCGCCGTCGTCGTCGCTCGCTCGACCTCGGCTTTGTTACAGCTGAGGCAAGTATTCCTCGTCTAGAGAATGTGTCGATACAGCATCTTGAACGGCTAACAACTTGGTTGTCTGAAATTGAGTAGGCAAAGAAGATAAAAACATTTGCTTAGGGTCAACAAGTAACTGTTTATACTCAAGCTCTTCTACTTGAGGAATGAGTTTCCGCATTAAGGTGGGGCGATGCAGCACGTAGCCTGCCATGGATATTGTCCAAAGTTTATAGCTGCATGGTGACCAGAAACAACCCAACTCATTGAGGCAAGTATGTTCGATAAGGTTTGGCCACCAAGGTTCATCTTTCTTATCGGGGTGTCCCTTGTTCTTGATCTCATTCCACCAACCTTGGAGCTCAACATCTAACATGACAGATTTAGGCTCAGAATAATAATGCTCAACAAGTTCTTTTATTGCAGACCATATGAGAAGGCCATCAGCTGCATAAGGATACTCCTCAATTACAAATTTCACTCCACATGGTGCTGTTGGATCTTCCACAGCCATGCCCCTGTTGTTATGGGATTTCACAATGTTTGAGGAGCTCATAATAACAAATATAAGAGCATATTTATGATAATACTTTTGTACTGCAAAATGACAATATTTTTAGCATAGGTCCATTTTTCATATTAGAGGGTGTATAAAATGTACTCCCTCTGTCCCAATTTGTGTGATGTTGTTTGACTTGCCACGGACGGGAGTTTAAGAAAAAAAGAAAGACTTTTAAAACTTGTGGTTTAAGATAAACTTTTGGATCCAATTTACTGAGAATTGGAGATAAAATGAGGCATGATTTAAGCAAATCACCGAGGCGATAGCAGACTACAACATTTCTTTTAAATTTATGTTTTCCTTAAGTAGTTCAATGCTAACAGGGTTAACCCCCGCCACAGTCTGGCGTGCAAATTCATGGTCTCGTAGCCATGCAAATCTATCTCCTACAGACATATGCCATAATGCCATAACTTTTCAATATGTTTGTCTTTGAACTAGACATCATTAGTGAAAAAGAAGTAAGAAAACGCTTACGCCTGATAGAAGGAATCTCAAACTTGAACAATCTTTCAGCAGCAGAAAGCATTTGTTTGATCAAATTCTCCTTTTGGTACTTTTCATCTTTCAAGGCAATACCATCAACATATTATAGCTTGTCTATGTTAGAAAAGGTGTTGAAGGAAATATTTGTACTCGAGAATTTAGAAACAATAGATGGTATCAGGTTGTGCATGACACCGTTCCACCTTTTAGTAGAAAGTGTATCCTGCTTAATTTCTTCAAAGGCTTCATCCTCTAGGAACATAAACTGGATGAGATGAATCTGCAATACTCTCTACGCAAGGATCTACTCGTATTCACAAACTAGAAAAAGTTACCATAAACATCCATTTAGAAAACACTTAAGTAACTAGGCCCATTAACTGATCACATTAGAATCTCCACTTGTTTTAGTTAACGATCTCCCAGTTCGACAACGCCTAGGATAAGGTTTCTCTTCACCACCAAATACAAGTCGCGCTAGTTCATTCCACATAACACTCTACAATTTTCCCTGATTTGGTATGTGTAAACAATAAAGATTCAAAACTCAAAATGAAGCACAACCACAACAAAAACAAATCATGAATTATTTTAAATATGTCAAAAAGGAGATTTTTGAGCCATTTCCATTAAAATTTTATATTTAGTCAAACAAATCGCATTAAGAAAATAGAGATTAGTGATTATACGCGTTGAGAAATATTACTGAATCAGGTTTACCAGTAAAAGAGTGTTGGAATATGGTTCTTGATCCTCAGGTGGTTCACGCTCACCTGGAGAGAAGGAAGAGCCTTCTAACTATTATGGTAAGAAGCCTCTCAGATGTTATCGTTGTGGTGAAGTAGCTGGGCACATAAAAAGATATTGCCGAGCCAAGGAGAGCAATATGGCTCAAAAAGTTGCTGAAGAAGAAGAGTGGGGAAAGTGTTTAGTAGCTGAGGGTCGAGCAATAGATGTCATGATTTCCATCAATCTTGAAAGAGGCTGGATCGAAGATCTAGAATATAATATAGCCGATCAAGTGGAAAACCAAGAAACTGATGTTGTCGGCATGAAGCAAGAAATTTTTGAGTATGTTCCCAGTGGTGATATGGTAGCTGCTATTGAAGAAATCAAAGAAGAAGATCCTGAACAGGCAATATCTGAAAGTGGCGACGAGAAATCATTGAGGGAAAATGTATTGAAAGTTGAAGTCTCTGGTCAATCGTCTACTATATCGAGGTCAATCACTAGCTTAGATCAAATTAAATACTGTTAGCAGAGGAAGAAGATAAAGATCAAATAGATGAAGAACCTAATCTTAAAGGCCAAATTTCAAGTGGGTGACATAATTTTTGAAAGCGTTGAAGCTGATAAACAAGTTATTGAAGAGCTAGAAAGGAAATTTAATGATGGATCCTATCATAGTGATGAGGCTACACAGGAAATTGACCATCATCACCGACTCAAATGAGGAATCTTATATTGATGATAACCTTTTATGCTATAAAGTTGCAGGTTCCAGAATCTTGAAAGCTGGAGTTCCAAACTTGCCTATCACAGATGTCTATTCAAATAGTACTTTTCTCAGGAAGCTAAGAGAAAGGGGGAGTTCAGGAACACAACAGGGAGATAATTTACATGGACCATTCGGTAATGGAAAATATTTATCATTTGACGAAGCAAGAGGAGTCCGGAAGAAATTGCTGATATCTTCACCAAGACATGGCGCAAAGCTTTGTTTGAGTTCTTCCACGACAAGTGTGGGGTAATTTTCAAAAAATCACTAAAAGGGGGAGTGTGAAAAATTAAAGTTGATTTTTTGGAGTTACAAAAAATATCTTAGATATTTAGTAGAACTTTTTAGAATTTTGTGAAGTAATATCTTTGATATTTGTACTTAAGAAAAATCTAGATAGTCTAGAGTATTAGATATTTTAGGGAGATATTTGTAAAAAAGATTTGCTATCCGTAAACAGTAAAGACTCAAAACTCCAAATGAAGCACAACTACAACAAAAGAAAATCATGAATTATGTTTAATATGTTAAAAATGAGATTTTTGAGCATTTTTCATTAAAAAAATTATGTTTAGTCAAACAAATCGCATTAAGAAAATAGAGATTAGTGATTATATGCGTTGAGAAATATTGTTGAATCAGGTTCACCAATAAAAGAGTGTTAGAATATGGCTCACAAGTCGATTAGAGTGCAAATACAATATTGGTATCGGATCCATAGGCTCGTTTTGATTGTTGATATGGTTGTATACATTACCTGAAAATGAGGGTTCTTATATGTAATTCTTGACTTGTAATTCCATGGTTTATGGTCGTTGCAGATCTTGTCTAATGGAGGGTAGCTTCATTATTTAGTAAGTCTTCTTGCTTTATAACATCCTTTCTGGTCTTGTGACGGAGTGCATGAGTAGCTCACTATCGCTGTTACCACTTTGGTATGCTTTTCTTCCTCGTATTCACTATCGTTGTTTGTTTTTCTGTAGGTGGTCTTGTGCCAGAGTGCACAGATAACTCTGAATCAACCAACAACCGATGCGAGACCCAACTTTTGAATCAGGACCCGACTCGTGAACCAACAATAGAGTATGTATTCACACTTTGCTTAACATTAGTGAAAACAACTTGAAATTGTGTGTGACAGGTCGTAGTTTTACCCCCTTGGGCAAGGAGGTTTTCGCGTAAAACTCTTTCTCTTTATTGTTAAGTATTTTATTGCATTCTAGCAAACTATTTACCTGGTACTACAGTTCACGGTGGACTACCACATCTCAACACCTAGTTATTTTTATATGATTTATGAAAAATTCACAATAAATTACCCTGTTTGTATATTGACAAGTGAAATATACAAATGGAGTTCTGAAAAATTTCTAAATGTATAAATAGAGAATTTGTATATACATACCCTATTTGTATATTTGCAAGAGAAATATACAAACGGGCAAGCGAAATATACAAACCGCGCGAAATATACAAATTGCAACCTCCATAACATACAAAACTATAGCTATGGAGGGCAATTATCGAAACTATATCTATAAAGCCTTACTATGTCTATTATGTTTGTTTTTTCTAGAATTTTCTCAATAAATAAGGAAAAATTACCTAAATATACAACTTATTTTACCATATTTTCTAATATTTCCTACCATTTGAAAAAATTACAAAAATACCTACTCTTTCCTATCGGTCGCATACATCACTTTACGTGATGTATAAGAATTGATATTAACAGTTAATTGTATCTGATACAATTATTAGACCTATATCTCATACAATAATAAGATATAAGTTAAGGATTTATGGACTACTCAAATACATGAAACATCAATAATATGAACAGATACATTGTCCTTGTTTTGACCGGTAGACTAGGGCTTTAGAAGATTATGGCCCTATTAGTGGAATTTATTAGGAAAATATATACTAAGACTAAGTCTTAAGTAAAGCATTTTAACAAGTTATAAAACAAACAATTTAACCTAAAATTAGGACAACTTCATCCGTCAAAGATGAATTCTGAAGAAGATTCAATTCCTCAAGATATTACCATCCAAATTTTCTCATGGCTTCCAGTTAAGTCTTTAATGCGTTTTAGATGTGTTTCGAAATTTCATAATTCAATTGTGTTGGAACCAAATTTTGTGGATCTCCATTTATCCAATTATTCTAAGATCAATCGTGGTGTTACTAAGTTGATTGCATGCCTAGCCGACGTTTGTTACGCTATAGAAGATCATCATGATGAAGAAGATGGAAATGCCACCAAGTATCATCAAATTGACAATTTTAGTAAGAGGGGATTGTTGGGTTTAGCAATGTATGAATGGGAAATAGTGAATGGGAAATAAAAAGAGAAAATGGAAAGTGGAAGAACCAATGAAAATGGGGGAACCAATTTTGGAGGAAAAATGAAAAGTCATTGCAAAAGTGCAAATGAATAGTCATTTTTACCATATCGGTAGAAGAGAGGAAATTGTTGTCCTTATATTAGGAAACACTTCCTTTAGTTCTTAAAGGGTTAAGAAGAAGGTGCCCCCTCGCGCTGTCGTCGTCGCTCGCTCGGCCTCGGCTTTGGATTTGGATTTGGCAAATGATGTGATTAATTGATAATATTTTTTGGACAAAAATTTATTTAATCAATCTTGTTAAATCATTTCTTTTTTCTTATAAATTAATTCAGAATGTTGGTTAACTAACTGAATTAATTTGGCGCAACTGAATTTATTTGAAATTCACATGTAACGGTAATCCTTCCGAAAAGTCGTTACTTTCCGAAAAGTCGTTACTTTTCCAAACGGTTTCCTTCCGAAAAATCGTTACTTTTCCCTAAAGGACACAATGTTCTGGAAAAAACACTGAAATTTTTTTCCTATCGGCATACATTTTCTCTCATAAATAAAATTGTCGATCGACTGAGTCTGTGTGTGCTCTTGTTGCTGTTCTTGCGTTCGCTGAAGTTATTGAAGTTTGAGGTACCGCTACT